TAAAAATTTTTCTTAAAAACAAAAACAAAATTAATTAGTTTAAAAAAGAAACATTAGAAAAAAAAACTACAAACTAGCAACACTGGTTATCTAGGTGGACGGTGGGAATGGGACAGAAGGTAAGAGAGGGAGTGATAGTTCCCTGAGTACATCTTTCAGTACACAGTGCTGTCTTTGGGAACCATATTAACATTTCACATACTGAGAGAAAGCGAGAGAAAGACAGATAAATAAAATAAAAAAAGTTCAGAGGAAAAAACTTAAAATTACATATATAAACAGAAACAAATGAACCTAATTATTTCAAAATGAAGAAATCAACCATACTGAAAGAAGAAGGGGATAGAGTACTAAGGTAAAAATCTTTTTGAAAAATAATTTATTGAAATGAAATTCACCTAACATAAAATTAACCATTTTAAAACAATTCAGCGGCATTTAGTACACTCACAGTGTTGTACAATCACCACCTCCATCTAGTTCCAAAATATTTCCATCACTCCAAAGTAAAACCCCTTACTCATTAAGCAATTTCTCCTCATTCCCCACTCTCCCAGTCCCTGGCAACCACAAATCTGTGTTCTGAATCTATTTATCTATTCTGGATGTTTCATATCAATGAAATCATACAATATATGACCTTTTGTGTATAGCTTGAGCCCTGATGGCCTAATGGTGAAAAGGTTGGCTGCTAACCAAAAGGTCAGCAGTTCGAATCCACCAGCTGCTCCTTGGAAATCCTACGGGGCGGTTCTGCTCTGTCCGACAGGGTCGCTGTGAGTCGGGATCCACTCGACGGCACACACAACAACAACGTGCATTAACGATTCTGAAACTACCTTCTGGCGTTCCAGACCTGAGCAAGCAAGTGAATAACCGCAAATAACGGGCAAGTTTCTCACGGATGGAGACGGGAGTGACATAATACACACCACAACTTGAGTCCTTCGAGAAGAACGTACAAAATTGTATTAAAAAGCACAATCACCCAATTACCCTTTAACCTTACCCATGGAAATTGCTGTAAACTCAAACATTTGACTTTCCACCTCCTGCGATCCCCCAGATCACACTTAATCTTTAAACTACTTTTTCTACAGGTAACAAGGTTTGCTGAAATCATGTGACTTTCTATGACAAAAATCACTATTTTCTATTAAAAAACAAACTATTCACAGAGCTCAGAAGCATCATATCTTCAGATTTAGAATCATATAGTAATTTTTTTTTAAAAAACTCACTGCTCTATTTAAATTAAAACCTTTCTTTTCTATTTAAATTAAAACCTTGATTGATTAAACTGTTCAAGGAATCAGTTGTTCAATTTTTTTCTTTAAACCAAGATAAACCTAGAAACTCACTTTGTTTAAACTTTTTGAAGGATAAATTTCAAATTATAACCCTCACATATATGGTCAATTGGTTTTAGACAAAGGTGCCAGGACTAATCAACGGGAAAAGGACAATCTCTTCAACAAATGTGCTGGGAAAACTGGGTAACAACTTTCAAAAGAATGAAGTTAGGCCCTTACCTTATACCACTTACAAAAACTAACTCAAGATGGATAAAAGACCTAAATTGAATATTTAAAGCTATAAAACTCTTCGAAGAAAACACAGGAGCAAATCTTCATGACCTTGGATGTGGCAATGGTTTCTAAACCACAGACAACAAAAGAAAAAATAGGTTAACCGAACTTCATCAAAATTAAAGTTTTGTACATCAAAGGACACTACCAAGAGAGTAAAAAGACATGCCACCGAACAGGAAAAAATATTTGCAGATCATGTATCTCATAAGAATTCAACATCCAGAATATATAAAGAACTCCATAAGCCAATAACAGCAACAACAAAAAAAACCAAATTCAAAATGGGTAAACAACTTGAGTAGACATTTCTCCAAAGAAGATATACAAATGGCCAATAAGCACACGAAAAGATGCTCAATATCATTAGTCGTTAGGCAAATGCAAACCAAAACCACAATGAGATACCACCTCACACCCACTAGGATGGCTATTACAAATAAAAAAAAAAAAAAAAAACAGAAAAATAACGGGTGTTGGCAAGAAAGCGGAGAAATCTGAATCCTCCTGTATTGCTAGTGGGAATGTAAAATGCTGTAGTTGCTGTGGAAAACAGTTTGGCAGTTCCTCGGAAAGTTAAACATAGAAATTACCAGAACCCAAAAAAACCCGTTACCGTCGATTCCAACTCACAGCGACCCTACAGAACAGAGCAGAACTGCCCCATAGGATTTCCAAGGAGCAGCTGGTGGATTCGAACTGCTGACCTTTTTCAGTCAGCATATGACCCAGCAATTCCACTGCTAGGTACATATCCAAGAGACTTGAAAGCAGGGACTCAAACAGATACTTGTGCACCAATATTCACAGTAGCATTCTTCACAGTAGCCAAAAAATAGAAACGACCTAAGTGCCTATCAACAGATGAATGGATAAACAAAATGTGATATATACACATACAATGGAATACTATTCCGCCCTAAAAAAGGAATGAAGATCTGATCCACACTATGACAGGGATGAACCCTGAAAGCATTATGCTGACTGAAATAAGACAGACACAAAAAGACAAATATTGTACGATTCCATTTATATGAGATATCTAGAATAGGCAAATTCATAAGAGACAGAAAGTAGATTAGCGGTTACGAGGGGCTAGGGGCAAGGGGAGTGGGGAATTATTGCTTAATAGGTAGAGTTTCTGTTTGGAGTGCTGAAAAAGTCCTGGAAATGGTGGTTACACAACATCGTGAATGTCCTTATATACTTAATACCCCTGAACTGGTTAAAATGGTAAGTTTTATGCATATATACTTCACTAAAAAAATTAATTTTCTAATTATAATTTTAGTGTATAGGACATCAATTTCGTAATCTCTCAAAATTTAGGTCCTTTCGGTGTCTCCAGATCATTTAGTCACTGTAGTTAAATGCAGGAGTGGATGCGGGTGTGGATGCAGGAGGCTGAGAAGCTGCTGTTTTGAATAAACCCCCGAACTCGCTTCCTCATATACAAGACAGAGGCTGTACCCTGCGTGGTGCCTGGCGGCTACAACCAGACATCGGTGGCTCTCCTTTTAAGGTCTTCCTGCATCGAAAAAAAAATAACCACATTTCCCGAGTCTCGTCTGCAGAGCCGTAGGTAAACACCTGGACAGAGAGTCAACTTCCAGGTGAGGAGGAGTTTGCTCAGAACCACTCACCTTGGTGCTGCAAAGTGACAGAGTTCTTAAGATTTCCAGTGACTTCTGAAACAACAAGCAGTTACCATGCTTAAGGCTGACATAATCAGTGACAGCTTCCCTGACCTTCAGTCCCTGAGCTCTTCCAGAGGTTATATAAGCCTTTAATTCCGTGTTAAAACCCTTTATGCTTGGAATCCAGTGGTCTCTGTTTTCCTAACCAAACTCTGACTGATCCAGTAGATGTGGAAATACTCTGTAAACTAGGAGAGACCACACAAAGGCATGGTATTATTATTTCTATTCCCACTGACCAAAACTTCAATTGATGCTGTTTTCTGGTAATCAGCCTCTTTGTAGACAAATCAATACATTCAAAATAAAACTTTCCTCCTATAAATCAGTAAAATGATACTTTTTCTTGCTACAAAAATTGGCTCTCTTACCTAACTTCATTTCTCCAATTAATCAGTGTGTTTTTACTGAGCACCTACCTTATGCAAGGCACTGCTGGGTATCAGGAGCTTCTGCTCCAAAAGTTTACAATACATGAGAATAAAAACATAAATACCTGTGACTGTTACACATCAGGAACCACATGTGATGGTGGGTCAGAGAAAGACTGGATTAAATTCAACTTGGGGGTAAAAAGGTATAAATCAAAAAAGGAGTTAAAGAAGAAGAGATATTAAAGGTTAAATAAAACTGAATGTCAAAGGGTAGGAAAAATTCTGAAAGTAGAGACAATGCTCAAATAAGCAAAGCTAGCAACACGGGGGCATGCATGGAGACCCAGCCAACCAACCAGCTGCCGTTGAGGTGACTCCAACTGATGGCACCCCGGCGTGTGTCACAGCAGAGCTGAGTTTTCAGAAGTAGATCGCCAGGGCTCTCTTCCAAAGCACCTCTGGGTGGACTAGTCTCCTCCCTTTCCATTAGCAGCCAAGTACGTTTACTGTTTGTACCAGCCAGAGACTTGTTACGGAGAACAAGGGCACCCAGTACAGTCGGGTTACATGTGGGGTATGCACAAAGGAGAAGAGGCTGAGGCCGAATTATATGAGGCCTGAAATGCTAAACATCTGGACCTTACTGCTATTACCCAACTTCAGAGTCAGAGAGAGAACTGGAAATTTCACCCCTAGATAACAAAATCAGGCTGCTAATGTGAGCCTAATTAGAGCCCACTAGTAGTAAGCAGAACTATCTAAGCAGAGAGAAGTGATCTCCCTAAACGTTTTTATCCTAACGTTCAAAAATCTTCAATAACTTCTGAATGCTACCTTTACCAAGTTCCTCAATACCATGGCCCCTCCTCCTATTCAATTCTATTTTCTACCATTACTCAAAATGTACAGCTCTCTCCAGATAGGCTATTCTCCACGCTGGTCTTTGAGCACAGCCAGAAAAGACAGGAGCGACACCGTACTACTTCTAGACTAAACCTTAAGTGGCTTTGCAACTTCTGCTCTCAGCCCCTTGAAATACTTCCACATCATGTGAAAAGCCCAGCCTAGCCTCCCGGAAGATGAAAGGCCACGTACAGGGGATCTGAAGCACCCAGCCAACAGCCAGCACCAAGTACCCGCTGTATGAGTGAAGCCACACTGGATCATCCAGTTCCAGTGAAGGTGTCAACCACATGAGCAACCCCGGGAGAGACAAGGAGAACTGTCACTGAACTCAGTCAAAATTGTAAAATCATGAGAAAATAAATGATTACTGCTTTAAGTCACTAGATTTGGGGATCGTTTGTTACAAAGCCATAAATACCTGACATATAGCATACCTTCTTGTTCTGCTTTTTGACCTAGACCTCTGAACTCTATAGGATTTCCCTCGACCCCTTGAGCGGCTTCGACTTCGTTTTCTTCTTGAGCCATAAGAAGAGCTACTGCTTGATCGATGCCTGCGTCTGAAATAAGATATAATCAAACATCACTGCTATAAAAATTTTTATTATAGACATTAAGGACAAATCTTCTAAAGTATCGTTTCATTTTTACTATGTAGAGAAGGTGACCACATCTCATTTTTCTCCTTCCTTGAAGCAAACAGAAATAAATGAAAATGTTACTCCTCTTGACTCACCAAATGACTGATTCATAATTTAGTGATGGGATCCAATACTAATTAAGGCATTATAGTTTTAATTAGTATACAATCCCCCAAATTTTATCAAATATTATGATATGAGAACTTAACCAGTTTATATCTACTTGTCTACAGAGAATAAACACAGGTGAGGATGCTAAACTCACGGGCTTGGTGTTGTTGTGTGCCGTCGAGTAGATTTTAACTCACAGCAACCCTATATGACAGAGCAGAACTGCCCCCATGAGGTTTTCTACGTTGTGACTTTTATAGAAGCAGATCGCCAGGTCTGTTCTCCTGCGGAGATGTAGGGTGAGTTCAAGTCACCAGTCTCTGAGTTAGCAGCTGAGTGCTTAACCTTCGTGCCACCAGGACTCCTTACCCATGGGCCAGGCCTGGTGAAAAAGCCACTGACTTGGCACCTGACTCTCACGAATATAAAACTGTTTAAAAAAATGTTTTACCCAACAAAATTAAAAGTACAAAAATATATGAACTCTAAAGAATTTTGCCCTCGGTACTGTATAAATAAAAATTACGAAAATCACCTTCTGTCATAAGAATGTGAACGAGGCTGAAGATCTCTGGACCAAGATCTTGACTTTGACCTTGATTTTCTTCCACCCTTCTTTCGGCTGTATGTCCTACTATCTGAAGAGCTACTTGACGAAGATCGTCTACGGTGCTTCTTCTTTCTCTTACTTCTGCTTTCCTCTTCAGTATCTGATGACCGGCGTCCCATTTCTATAAGCTTAAATTCAAAGAAAATTATCTCGAACACAATAGCACTATGGGTAAAATTCAATACAGTAATTTTTGTAAAAATTTATAAAATTTTTAAACTATTATTTAAAGTAAAATTTTAAATGTGTCTGGCTTCTTGAGAGGATGTTAGAAATAGCTCTAGTACAGTCTTTTACGGAATCAATGAACAGTTCTTAGAATTTATAAACAATCTGAATATGCCACAAATGTTGTCAAAGGTCTCTCAAAAAGCCAATCCCGAGGACAGTTCATTAAATCAATTTCCTTATCTGTTAAGTTGCGTTTGTCACTGATTGTATGACAGTTACATCAGTGATCAACCATCTATTCCTTCATTTTCATATTCTCTGAAGACAAAAGATATTTTAGTATCTCAGTCATATTTTTCTAACTGAAAATTCTACATTTTTAAGTGGATAAGACTTCATTAGTCATCAGCAAAGTACAAACTGAAACAATGCACTATCCTCACTTGTGAAATTTGGGGGAGGAAATGTCAACTGAAGCACCAAAGCTGATGAGGTTATTGTGAAGTCAGTCAACTCTTCACACACCCCTGTATCTATATGGAAAAGAAAAAAAAAAAAACGCAACGCCGGCGAGTTGATTCCGACTCACAGTGACACTACAGGACAGAGGAGAACCGCCCCATAGGGTTTCCAAGGAGCAGCCACTGGATTTGAACTGCTGATCTTTTGGTTAGCAGCCAAGCTCTTAACCACTGCGCCACCAGGGCTCCATATCAAGTGGTGGTGTAATCCTTTTAGAAAGCAATTAAGCAACTTAAATAGAGCCATAAAAATGTTAATGCTTTTTTGACAGAGCAATCCTTTTCTGAGAATATACCTTAAAATGTTTTTCAAAAATAAAGATGTGAAATTCATAAAGATATTCACTACAGCATTATTAAAACTATCTGCATGACTACAATTAAAACATATGTACATGTGAACAAGAACAAAAATGAAACAATACTATTTAAGGAATGAAACTGAGTAACTTTTTTCTTTTTAAACTATTTCCTCTTTGGCTATTTTGTTTTTGGTCAATTAAGCAGCGATATGTATGTATTTATAGTATACATATATGTATACACACACACACACACACACACACACACACACATTTTAAGAAGGGGCCCTGGTGGCGCAGTGGTTAAGCGGCTGGCTGCTAAGCAACAGGTCAGCAGTCTGAATCCACTAGCCACTCCTTGGAAACCCTATGGGGCAGTTCTACTCAGTCCTATAGAATCACTATGAGTCAGAATCTACTGGACAGTAATAGGTTTGGTTTTTGGTTTTATCCATTAAGAAACACGTACACAACTGAGTGATAGATAATCTAAGTTTTCTTATTTCCTGGCTTTTTATTCCTTTCTTGTTTTCACATTTAGGCACTTAAGAAGTTTCTTTATTCATAAAAAACTACCTTAATTAAGGTAAGTTTTTATTACTTTCCTATTATCTACTTAAAAAAAACACTAAAATAAGAGTAAAGGAATAAAAAATTATAAATTCACAAGGATAGAAAACAACAGGAACAGCAGACAAGATATGTCAACAAATTTTTAGCAAATGAAAAACAGATGGAGGATTCAGGACTAGGAAAGCTGAACACCAGACAACTGCAGAGAATTCCAACAAGACAAAACCCAATTCACATAGCAAAAATCAGAGAGGATCAGGAATTTGAAACAACAGACATCATAGCAGGCCCAGCGAGGCATGGAACTAAAAACAGGGGAGTTGGTTGAAAGGTTGTAAAAGAAGGAGAATCCCAGGTCCCTTTCCCTATCCTACCTAGCCAGGTGACTGCTCTTCCACATACCTGAGCAGGAGAGATTTATTTTGGAAAAACAGTGAAGCAATGAAGCACCAGGTCCAGAGACACAGAAAAAAGGACAGTGAGAAGCCAAACTAAAGGTTAAAGCGATCAGGTGAAAGTCTCCAAACTAACAGTAAAGGTGCACCTCTCTGGGGGCTTGGATCCAAGAATTCCAGAAGATCCAATCTCCAGGAAAGAAACTGGAGACTTCTCTGCAAACACTGACCAGTACCTGAGAAATGATACATAAGTATTTGAGGGTCCCCCAACAAAAAGACCAGGTCTTCACCCAATCACCCTATAATGAAGCCCATCAATTGACAAACTCAAAACTTAAACACAGAGTTTCTGTAAGCTTTTTAGTGAATATACAACAAAGGATAACCCAACATGTGATGAAAACCTTCATCTTAAAAGACAGAAATCAAAACAGAAAAAAAAAAGGCAACTCAGTGTAGACTTGGAACACGTAGCAGAAAACTTCAAAAAAAAAAGAAAATCACAGTTAATGTCCTCAGAAACATATGAGAAGACTATACAGCAAACAAGAATAAGAGCAACATTCAAAAAACAGGAGACAGAGTTTAAAATTTAAACAAATGATAAACAATTTTTTTTCAAACTATAATCGGGTTGAAAGATAAAATCAAAGGACTCAGAGTAGAAGAGACCAAGAAAAATAAGAGGTAAAAGAGGTTCAGTCTGGGACACTGGACACCAACCGATAAGCTTTCCATAACAACAGAACAGAGAAAAGAGAGGAAGGAAAATTATCCAAAAAATAACTTCTGCTTCATAGTGAAGAATGATGGTTATCTTGAGAAAAAACATTTCTGCAATTGAATTGCAAACTGAACTAGCTGCTACTATCATGGGACACCATTTATACTTGAAAGAACTGATCAACTATGATTATTCAGTATTTGAATTCAGACCTCAGTATCTGGCAGACATTTTTCTTAAAATGAATGAAGGGAGCATTTCTCTTCAAAGAAAACTGACAGCATTCATTACCAATGATAAAATTTAAGCTTTCAAGCAAAAACTAGAGTTTTGGATAACTTTTGTCTGCCATCTTAAGAGTGACAGCTTCCCAGTAATTAAGACTTCTCTAATAAGATCAGTGGTGACATTAACAAAATGTGAGTCTTTGATATTATAAAGTAAAGGGTGTCAACATTTAGAAGCCATGAATAACTCAGTGAACCAATATTTTCCAACTGGCTAATGCACGATATCACAAAATCACACTTGGACAAAAAATCCATTCATGGTGCAAGACAGGTCAATGAATTTTAATGTAATAGCGTGAAATGGTCATTGATATGGTTTCAAATACCACACTGCAACCAACCTTTAAGAAATACCACTTGTTGAGTTTTGGTGTAGTATCAAAGAGATAATCATTTGAAAAGGCTATTAAAATTCCACTCTTTCTAAGAGTATATTTGTGTGAGGCTAGATTTTCTGCATAAACTTTAATCAAAATAACTCATCATAATACATTGAATGTAGATGCAGATATGAGAATCCAGTTGTCTTCTATTAAACCAGACATTAGACTTGCAAAACTGGAAAACAAGGTGCCTAGGGTTCTCTAAAGAAACAGAACTAGTGAGAGAGAGAAAGAGATATATTCCACAAAAACAGAACAGAGAAAAGAGAGAAAGGGAAATTATCTAAAAAATAACTTCTGCTGTGTATCAAAGAATGACAGTTATCTTGAGAATGTGTGTGTGTAAATACACACACATACGAGAGACAGAGAGACTTATTGTAATAAATTGCTCAAGTGATTATGAGGCAAATCCAAAATCTACAGGTTGGACAGGCTGGAGATTCCTGCAGGCCTGTGTCCCCAAATCCATAAGTCAGGTGATGGGAAGAGGGAAGAGTGAGGGAGTCCTGGTAAAGTACCTATTTATAGCCTAAGACAGAATATACCCTATGGAAACTTCCTTTCTGCTTCATTATGGAGAGTAACGTACTTCACTTAAGGTCAACTGATTTAATCACATGTAACTGCTTCAGAACAGAGGTCTGACTAGTATTTGACAAAACTGCTGGGTATCATAGCCTAGCTAAGGTAACATACAAAATTAACCATCACACTAGAATATTATCAAGACAGTGAAAAGGCAATCCATAAAATGGGAGAAGATATTTGAAAATCACATATTTGATAAGGGTTTAATATCTCAAATATATAATGAGCTCTGACAACTCAACAACAAAGAAACAAACAACTCAATTCAAAATGAGCAAAGGACTTCAATAGACATTTCTCCAAAGATACACAAATGGTCAATAAGCACATGAAAAGATGCTCAACATCATCAGTTATTAGGTTAATGCAAACCAAAACCACAATGAGATACCACTTCACCCGTACCAGAATGGTTATTAGAAAAATTGAAAATAACAAGTGTTGGCAAGGATGTGGAGAAATTGGAACCTTCATGAATTCATCATTGGAGGCTTGTGTGTTGCTATGAAGCTAAACAAGCTTCAGGGGAGCTTCCAGACTAAGACAGACTAGGAAGAAAGGCCTGGAGATCTACTTCTGAAAATCAGCCAATGAAAACCCTATGGATCCATGATCAATCATGGGGATGGCACAGGACCGGGCAGTGTTACATTCTGTTGTGCTTGTGGTCACCATGAGTCAACAGCTCACACAAGGCAGCTAACAACAACCCTAGATATATACTTACACCTGGGTTTCCCTAATATACTCCACATCCCTAATGTAATTAGAATATAAGTGAACAGAGTTGCTCACTTGAGTCATGGTGGTCAATTTATATTACATAGTCCTAATAAAGAGGAACTCTTTATACTTAATTCCATTGGTAAGGTGTATGTAAAGACACATCAATTGCTCTTACTGCTAAGGCCAATGAGCATAGACTTTTAGGACTCCCAGATTTCAATATATCTGGTGGCACAGTAGTTAAGAGCTTGGCTACTAACCAAAAAGCTGGCAGTTCAAATCCACCAGCTGCTCTTTGGAAATCCTATGAGGAAGTTCTAATCTGTCCTATAGGGTCACTATGAGTCAGAATCGATGTCAATGGGTTTAGTTTTAGTTTTATAAGTGAAAGTGGCAACACAGAGGCAAATTCCTACAGTTATTGGTTTTCTACTCTCACTCAAGTTCTTCACGGTTGTATTCTCAGGGTTGCAAAATTCACCCAACTACTGTAACTATAGAATTTATACCATGACATCAAATTACAAAAAACATCTTATTGTAAAGTTTAACTGACTGATTGAAGACAGGGAGCCATAAAGTGGTCATTCAAGAAAACAGGGCTCAAAAGCATATACAAGAAGTCCTTTCGTCCATTTATTATTAAGGGTACAAGGAGGAGTCATCTTTTTCAGAAAAGAGGCAATCAGTTTGAGAGAATGCAGGTTCCTAAAGCGCATGACAGTTTATAATTACCTCTCCACTACTTATTCATTTGGACATTAAACTATAACCTTCTAGATCCTGGATACACAAATGGTGGGAAGGAAAAAGAGCAGTCATTTCAATGAGAAACCCAACTCAGGTAGATAAAGTAAAATGGGGTGAACACTATTTAGCACAGGAAGAAATCCACAAACAGGTATATTTAATCGGCAAAAGACAGGAAAAGAGGTAAAATTTGAGCTCAACAAAGCAAAACTCACAAGAGATCAAGAATTCTGTCAAAATACTCCTCCCTTCACAACTAAAAATGTGTAGACTAGTATCTGTTAATTTTTTTTAAGTATTATTAGTCATAAGGACCCCTGGTGGCACAGTGGTTAAGAGTTCAGCTGCTAACCAAAAGGTCAGCAGTTTGAATCCACCAGCTGCTCCTTGGAAACCCTATGGGGCAATTCTAATCTGTCCTATAGGGTCACTACGAGTTAAAATTGACTCGACAGCAATGGGTTGGTTTTTATTAGTCATAATAATTTCTCCCCAGTGGTTTAAAAGTGAAAGCAGAATATACATCTATCCATCTACTAAACAATCCTATTACAGATGTTTTCCAATTGACAGCACAGCGCTGTTTGCTGAGCCTGGTCTAGATGGTAGGCCAATTAACAGAAAGGTGCCAGTTGCCTTCACCTTTTCCAGCTTCAGACATTTTTTTAGCCCTCTTATTTAACAACATGCAGTAATAAAGTCCTATCACTTGGCAGGAAATCTCCTTTGCCTGCAAAGAAAGTGAATATTTATACACTAAAGGTGCTCTCCACAGATAACTACTTTCCCCATAAAGTTCCACTTGCCACATCTGTTCAAATCCTTATACCTGGGAACTCTGTGTATCTCCTTCACTTAAAACTTTTATGTCTAAGTTCAAAGATGACAACTGGAATGCTTAGTGTGACAACACAAGACATACGAATTTATTTCACTACCTGGCACCTAATTAGCTGAAACACAACTGGGTTACTGCTAATTCTGGAAATGCAATTTTTTTTTTTAGGTTTCCGGTGTGCATATAACCTCTGAGAGAGAAATTCTTTTTCAATGGACCTAAAACCAAGAGTAGGCAGTATGCGTGAAGCCGCATTATAACTTCCCACCAAAGTAAACAGTTTATGGGTAGCCATTCGCTCTTGGTCTTTGACCACATGACCACGAGTCAACACAGGAAGGTCTACTGCACCCCAGGCCATCCTCTCAGTGAGCGAGTATGAGCTTGGGAGGGCCAGGCAGGGTTGGAAGGGAGGCAGAGCTAAGGTAGAGACAGAGTACGGGGACGGAGTGCACCAGGGTGCAGGCTCCCTCTCGCTCCATCCACCTACAGCCAGGGATCAAGCGCAGGACACATTTTGCAAGATGAGCCAGAAACCCAAAGAGGCAGTCAAGGACCAGGGGCCACTGGGGCCGAGGGGGTTGGGGGGGGGGGCGGGTCCCGCTAATCCTCCCGCACCACCCGCAGACCAAGGGCCGAGCAGAGGCTTACGGCCGCCCTCGCAGCCCTGGCCGCGACCCCAGGGTCGCGAGGCGCCCAGGTACGGGGCGCATGCGCACACCTGCACGCGCGGGGCCGCCGCCCACCATGCGGCGCGTCCCGGCTCTGACTGAACCAGGCCCGAGCAGGCCTCAAGCGGGACGGCCGGGGCGCCGCTCCCCAGGCCCTGGACGCGGGCACCGCCTGGGCCCCGGCCTTCGGGTTCACACTTCGCGTTAACGTGCACGGGCTGCAGACCTGGAAACGCCGCTCCCGCTGAGACACCGCCAGCGTCCGCCCAACTCGCCTCAGTTCAAGCTCAGCGCCTTCCTGGTTCCAGCGTCAGACAGCACCAGCCGCGCCGCCGAGCGCATCGATGGAAGCGGCCCGGCCAAGGGAGTGCCGAGGGAGTAGATTGTCACGCTGCCAGTTTTTTGTTGTTGTTGTTGTTGTTTTTTTCCTTTCGCGTGCTGGCTTGATTATTTGGTTTTCTTGTTCTCCAAAAGCAATAAAGGTGGGGACTGAAGGGTGTTATTGCCTTAGTAACCGTCGTGATCGTCACAGATAATCAGTAAAGAAATCTGTCTCGTAGGAAGTTCTGACAACCATACGTAGCCAAATAGGTTATCTGGTGCTGGGGGGAGGAGGGAGCGAGAAGCTCCCCCAACAATAATAAATCATGGGAGTGCGTCTGTATAAAGTCGTGTGTGATCAAATTGTAATGATTTATTTGCAAAAAGGCATTAAAAGTCGGTGTTTCTTCTGCCCTGAAGGTGACGGTACTCACGGGTTGGGTGCAAATTAGTTTCTCATATAAATGTAACTGGTTGGTAGAGGAATAGGAGAAGGCTGCCCGAGGCGGGGAGAGGGTTCCTCCGAAAGAGGAATCAAATCTATAGTGTTTTTTAAAATTACACCAATAGAAATTAAACGGATTCCGCGTTTTCTGTAACTCATACTAAGTTGCTTCTCTTTCCTTGCGTGAAAATCATTTTTTCCTTATAATTAAAGCAAAGCTAAGGAGGTAAATAAACTGCTGGGTTTGGTTTGGGTCCACTGTGAAAACCAACTCATTCACAACTGCTAGATACCCAAGCTACAGTGTTCCCGCAGACATTTGAGATGGTGAAGATCACCTCCGCAGTATTTTTCTGGTAAATGACTCCACCCTAACTAGCCAGTTTTTAGGGACCCTTTTAAAACTTAGCTACTACACTACAGGTTTATTTTTTAATAATTCAAGAGGCTGGGGGAACCCTTAGGGTACTGAATTGGTTGGAACCTGTGTATTTGTCCACAGGCTGTCAGCTGAGCTCTCCTCTCATTACTTTTTTACCAAAACTGCATTTTGAAATCTCTTGTCCCAGAAAATATTGGCTGTTTAATGAAACAACATTGTTAGAATTACCTGGGCACTTATTAGCATATAATTAGAAGAGCTGTTTATGAATATGTGTTTAACACGTCAATTTGAGAGCTGTTTGAGCATCACACTGATTTCGATGATCCTATTACTACTGATCATTCTGCTAAATAACCTCAAAAACGGATTTTCATAAAGGACTAAAGTTTTATGGTTATTCCCCACAGATAATATCAAAATTAAAGTAGTCACAGATAGTAATCTAAGACTAAATGTAAAATCATGTTTCTAAAATCACATAACTTTTGAAAGTTTGAGTGTTTGAGATTCTGCTATGATATAATAAAATAAAAAGCAAATATTCACATAATTCCTTAATACTTAAAAACTATTGCTACTGGAAACTTAAAAGATCCTACTTATTTGTTCTAAATGAGGCAATAAATGAATTTTTAAAGAAAAACAAAGAACAGCTTTAGAATTCGAGAAAAGGAAAAGCATCATTTCTAAAAACCACGAGTTCCATCTTTCCTAAACTCACCGAATGGGAACATTTTAATCTGAGGAGTAGCCAAGTGTATATATAGCTCTGTTTACATATATTGTAAAACACTAAATACACTAAATCATAATTACGTTTTCTCTTTTACAAATGTTTGAGGTTGCCTTAGGTATAACTTCTCAAATGTGTGCTAACTTTGTGTTGATGCCTTAACCAATGGATGGGTAAGATATACATGCCAGTGTTCTCTAATTGCTTTTATTTTTATTAAGACTGTTGGTCCCAAGACAATTTATAACAAGCACGTTATAACGAACATATTACCTTTAACATCAGAAAGTCTGCATTAATATTTAGACATTGTCCCCCAAGCCAAGGGGTATATTTGTTGACACACTCAAGTAAATACAACTTTGTGTATGTAAATATTCTTGTGGGAGTATAAATATGCATATTCACCCGTCTTACAGCAAGCCCAGTTCTACACATAGAGACAAATGACTCTGGAATATTTATATTCCTTCCGTATAACAAACCGTTTCTATGAAAATAGCTCAGAAACAGAATTTTCATCCGTAGCTTTAAAGAGAGATTTTCTCAGAGTGAGGGTCTCTTTTTGAAAAATCCACGATAAATAAAATTAGATGTGGCACAAACTTAACGTCGATTTTTCCCCCCCAAACTCAAAGAGGGGTAATCCCTTGTTTTTCAAAATTTAGAAATCAGCTAGAATGTTTCCCCAGATGCTAAGGAAGAGCTCCCGAAGTACATCGTGGGAGGATTCCCGGTGCCCCCGAGACTTGTAAGAGAAGAGGCCAAGGGTTCCTGAGACCTCAAAGAGGGAATGAAGTCGAACTGTCCTTTAAAGTGTTTAAAGGGAACACTTTAAAATGGGGTTTGTCAGGGAACAGCTGCTCTGGAAACCTGTTCAACCGACCGGCCCCTTGGAGCGGGGTGTGTGCCTGGAGAAGTCGGCTTCGGCCCCAGGACCCAGGAACGCGGTGACTCTCACGGCTCAGGGCGGGGGGCTCCGCTCTAACTGCGGCCCAAGAAGTCCCTACAGGGAACTGCGCGGCCCCAACAGCCCGGGGACCCTGACCCTGGGATGGAGGTGAAGCTGGGGCCGCGGGGGACGGAGATGCAGATGGGGATGCGGGTTGGGATGCGGGATCGGATGCGGGCCGGGAACGAGGGGCCAGGTGATGCTGGGGCGCGGGCCGCGGGAGCGGCGGGGGCGGAGGGGGACGCGGCGCCGGGACGAGCCCTGACGCCCGCAGCCGCGCACTTGTCCGTCTCCCCTCGGCCCCGCCCCGTGGACTCGCTCCAGCTCCCCAGTGTTTAACTAAGTCGTGACACCAGCGCAAAAATCCACGCCTAATTAAATTAATTAGGGCTTCTCGTCAATCCTGGATTCATGGCCACGAGCACAGGCGGCCGAAGCGCTCGCATAGCCCGGACGGCCGGGGACCTGCCTCCTCTCCCCGCCCCTGCAGGCCCCCTTGGCTGCCCTCCCACCCCAGCCGGGCTCCAGCCCCGGGCAGCGCGCGCTCGCGCCCTGGCGATCTCGATCCGCCTCTCTCCCTCGTCTCTCTCTCCCTCGTCTCTCTCCCTCGTCTCTCTCCCTCGTCTCCCTCTCCCTCG